ACAAAAAAAAAAAAAAAAAAAAAAACTGGTGACACATACTACCATTAATACTACTATTGTGTTGTTGCTGATACTACTACTACAAATAATAATGATCGTAGTAGTATAAAAGAAACCTGTCTAGAAGGATAACTTCACGAGAAGCAAGACACTGAATTTGCTCATAACTCTCCAGAGGCATAAATGGCCGATCTCGTCCTGCATCATAAAATCCATCGGATAGATGGTCTTCAATTCCACAAAAAGACATTTTGCTGTACTTGCAAGACAATATCGAAGCACTAATTGATTTTCTAGACTTGCATGGTTTAGGATTATCAAGATCCCGATCTAAATGTCTCTTTGATTTAGAAACACACTTCAAAAGTTCTGTACAAGATGTTTCATCCTGATCACTTTGCCTGTCCTCTAAGGAGCATAGCGTTGCATCTTTTTCATCTTTGCTTTCAGTAGAGCAGCAATCTTCCCGAGAAAAGTGCTTTTCAATAATTACTTCGTCATTGTTAACATTATCAATTACATCATCATTTACTGCTTGTTCAGAGAATATTCTTTTATTACTATCGTCCAGGTTCTCATTCTCTGATACAATTTCTCCACAACTTTCAGAAGCAAGACTATCTTGATTTCCTGCTTCAGAAATTCGGTGAATCTTCTTGCTCATCAACTGGTCATGATCTACAGCTTTCCACTTCCTACTGTTGTTCAAGCGTTCTTGACGAGCTTTCTGCTGTAAATAATGTCGCCGTTTCCACCGTTTACCTGACTTCCGGGATGCAAAACATCTGCTAGATGAGGAGCTTGTTACCATGCTTGAAATGATATTATGAGGGCCTGAAAAAGAATTCATAGAATAGTACTTAGCTCTACATACATGAACTCAATAGTTCAAACTGCAAAAGGGAAGAGCAAATACTAAATGAGGGGGGATAAATCAAAGATGGAAATGCATTATAAGCCTTACTGTTGTCAGAAAGGGTTTCATCATTCTCATGAAAGCTGTTTTCATAGAGATCCATTTCAACAGAAGAACTGCTACAATCATCTTTGCATCTAGCTCCATCATTTCCCTCCATATTACAATATATCCATGAAGGAATTTGAAAATTCGCGAGCAGCTTGTTGTACTTGAAACAATAAATATACATACAAATATGTCAAGAACTATTTAGGCATATGAAAATCATAGGATTTTTAACAAAAAAAAATTCAAAACATTAAATTATATAGTTGGAACTCAATAACACACAGAAGTAAGGTAAAATATAAATAAATGTGCACTCCCACATAATCCAGAATCCTTATCATTTGTTTCATATGCAATCTACAGCTACAAAATCAATACCTTGGATGCACAGAGGCACCTTCAATGCGGTCCCTCCATGTAAAACACTGTCAGATACCACCAAATTAATGCATATTAAACACCAATTCAAGCAAACGAAACAGGTCAAAGATTGATATCTGAACATACACAATCAGCCATTAAGGGAATGTACTGTTGGTAAAAAAAAATCAGATAGACCCATATATTAGACCAAAAATCTGATCTGACAAACAAATCAAGTTTATACTCCCAGACCTTAAGCCAGAAATTAAAACAACTATCATAGACACCAAAAATTATTCATGAAATGCATCAAGAGAGTATAAATATATTTCTTCCATTATATATGTGTGTGCATTTAAGCTAAACAAAACTAGCTTCACAATATTAAGACAAATAGCAAAGTCAGAAACAACGAAATCCTCTTCTAAAATAACACAAATACTGGACAGAACAGCAAGAAAGCAGACGTCACTGATTCATAAAATCATAACTAGGTACCTGAAGGTTTAACTTCTGAAGTCTATCCATGGAGGCAAGTTCAAGGGACCCCAGCGAAGTCAACCTATTATTCGACAGGTCCAAACTCTCCAACCTTGACAGAGAAGACATAGCTGACGGCAGTTCCACTAACTTATTATTCGCAACTTTCATGGATATCAAGCCCTGCAAATAACTAATCTCCGACGGCAACGTCTTAATTTTATTGAACGAAAGATCAAGATACTCCAGCTTCTTCAAGCATCCAATTTCGGGAGGAAGGTATCTATAGTTTCAAAAATCACACACACATATCTTACTGCTCCACCAAATCACATTGTTTGTAATCTAAAACCACAATTGAACACAATTCAGACAAATTAAGTGGTACTTCGAAAGCACAAGAGGAAAGAACACTGACCGTATAGAGAAATGACAAATGGAAAGCTTGGTCAAGCACTTGAGACCCGAAATTTCTGTCAAAATCGGAAAAGCCGAGGGTCTGGGAGGGCCTTTGGAAAGTTCGAGTTCCTTCAAACCCTGGAGCATGTGCAACGGCAAGCCTCCAATCCCAGGCGAGGAAATCTTCATCTGCAAACACTCCAACGCCGTCAAGTTCCCGAACTCGGGAGCGAAGAGGTTAATCTCGTTCCCGAAGAACTTGAGCGTTTTCAACCGCGCCAGGCGCGAAACCGACTTCGGAATCAAGCTGTAAACGTTCTTGTACATGTAAAGGCTCTCAACAGAGTCATCGGCGTTCTCCGCCGCCGGAAATTCGAAGGTCTTTCCGGTGACGTCGAGAGCCGCGCCGTCGTCAGTTCCGGAGTCGAGAGAATCGGGCGCGGCGTTGGGTTCGTCGGGATTCTCCGGGGAGTCGCGGCGCTCGGGCGCGGGCTTGTCGGAGTGAAGAAGCTGCATTGGCTGGTTCCGATGAGGTTCGCGGATTGGGAGTGGGTAATGGAAGGGGGAAAGAGAAACCCTAGAATCTAGAAGCAGTGTTTGCAGTGTAATTGAATATTTGGGGAGAAGTCGCGAATCGAGACGCTGGTTGCCAAACGCTGCGTTAAGTGGGGGACGATAATAGCCCCCGCTTTGGGCACTAATTACAAGGTTTTGGGGGTCACGGTCAAAGAGGCTGCGGGGGTGTGTATTTGTATAATGTACAAATACTTTTTTCAATCATCTTCTGCTCTTTGATCTTTACCAAATTACTACATTCATTTTGATTTCTTGTTTTTACGAACTTCAAAAATAAAATAAAAAAGGCAAAATAACGGCTCTCTCGAATATGTAAAGGGAAAAATATCTTTTTATCAATCTTCTTTTAAGAAAAAATCCGAGAAGAGTGTTGTAAGCTTATTTTAATACCCGTGCTAAATTCCTGTGAATAAAAAAAAGAAGAAAAACATGGGAGAAATAATAAATTCTTACCTTTTGTAGCAACCTCGATCGCGACGGGATGGCGAAAAATAAATTGAAAAAAAGGAGTCGCCACTAATGTTATTTTTTTTACGGAAAAACATTGGAAAAACCATAAAGTAGAAAATAGTCTACGAAAACCAAATTTTTGAGTTCGGGAGTCGATTACGTGTGAGGAAGGTATTAGCACCTCACAACGTTCGTCCTAAGACGATTACCTTTAATTAATTAAACTAATTATTTATAATTTATAAAATATTTATCTCACAAAAATTATCAAATATATTTTATTTAACTAATTTAAATTATGCATTGAAAAAAAGGTTAAAATTATTATTGTTATATAAAAAGGAGGATAATATTTTTTTTATTTTTTGGCTCGACAAGATTTAGTTCTTGCTCCTACGTATCTTCATGTGTAATGAAGAATCAGAGTCACGTAGTTCTTTGTAAAAAATATTTGTGTGTTGATATTTTTTAATTAGATTTACTTTTGTTAAATATAGGATTCTTGAACTGTCTAAGCTCATTCACCCTAAAAATATAAAATTGACCAAGGTGTACACCAAAGTCAATTCAATAAAATTGTAATTATAATTATTGTTATAGATGTTGTGATTAAAAAATTTCTTGGTTGGACATTTTCGTTTTTTGGAGGAAAAATTTAAAGATAAGCTGTCACAACTTGTACTTTAAATTCAAAGGTTAAAAAGATGTCACATCTAGTTAACCATTCCTCCAATAAAATTTTGATACAATAATTCCAGATATTTACATTAAATATTGTAACACTATATTTTGGTATTTAATCACATTTTGAATTTAAATAAGAACTACTGACAGATATAAAAATAAATAAAAGAAATGAGTTTAATATACTCACAATTCTTCGCTACAGAAGTGGGTCTCCTTCTCTGGGTTCCCTCTGGTCCAAGGTGGAGATGTGTGTGGGAAGGGTGTGTGTGGGTGTCCTTTGGGAAAGCCAAGGGGGGAGAGATGTGTGTGTGGGAAGGGGAAGGGCGCTATTTATAGACTTTCTGGAGGGACCGGAACGGCCCGTTCCGGGGTGGCAATTTTACTCACAATGGCCATTTTCGGAACGGCCCGTTCCAGTTTGGGAACGGCCCGTTCCGGGCTAAAATTTTTAGGTATTTTGATAGTTCGGGAACGGCCGTTCTAGCCTAAAAATTATAGGTCTTTTTTAAAAATTGGAACGGCCCGTTCCAGTTGTGGGAACGGCCCGCTCTGGGCCAAAAATTAGAGGTATTTTGGAAGGTTGGAACGGCCCGTTCCAGTTTTGGAACGGCCCGTTCCGGGCTAGAAATTTAGCCTTTTTTGGAAGGTTGGAACGACCCGTTCTGAATCCAGAACGGCCCGTTCCGGGCTAGAAACTTTAGGGCTTTTAGGAAAGCTGGAACGGCCCGTTCCAGATTGGGAACGGCCCGTTCCAGGCCTGCAATCTTAGTACCTTTTGGAAAGTTGGAATGGCCCGTTCTGGTTTTGGAACGGCCCGTTCCGGGCTTGAAATTTTGTCCTTTTTTATTCTTTTTTGCATATACCTATTTTTCTATTTTTTAAGAACAAAATTAATATTTCCCGGACGAAATTGGGTTACTACACCTTTCTATTTTATATAATTATTTTTAAAAAAACCAAAAATATTATTAATCTCATAAAATAAAACATTCACTCACTCACGAATATTCATTACACTTGCGTGATATAGTCATGCAAAAAACATGCACCCTTACAAATTTCTTTCTTAAAAAAAATGTAATTTCTTTTCTCATTTGTTATCATGAGTAAGTGACGAGTGATTTTTATGTTTTAAAAATTATATTGATCATCAAATCAATTGGTTTAGGATTGAACTAGTAAGTCACTAATTGAAATTGCATGACTTTATTTTTATTAAATTTTTAAAATATTAATGTCTCATGTATTTTATATTTATAAATTTTAATAAAATTTATTTTATATCTTGAAGAAATCCCCAAAAACTTGTAAATAATGGGATATTGACATAATAACCAAATTATATATTCGCTAAACCATATAAATTAATGTATAAATAAATGTATGGCTTTAAATTAAAAATGTATGAATTATTTAAGCCAATTATATAACAATAAGGCGTGTTGATTTCTACTCCAAAAACAAACATGTTGGTTTAGTCATCACAAAGATATTAAATAATCACATTAGTCTAAGTCTCATCTAGTCCAAAATTACCATTATTTTGTTTTATATAAATAAATAATATAAAAATATTTTACTTTACGAAAGTAATCAAAAGCACAAGATATAAACCATTTAAGTCACATAAACAACAACAAATAAGTATTGATTCATGGTCATGACCTATCCAATCATACAAAGTAGTACGAGTCTTATGGCATTTCAAGTTTCTATTACTTGTTCTTGAAATAATGCATTTTTCTTTCTTGTATGAAAATCTTAAGTGCATTGGATAGTGTGTGCATATTATTGAAATTTACCATCTCCTTTAATAACATTGTTCACAAATAAAGAAAAACAATATGGGAAACTTTCTTGCCATTGAACCTTCTTTCCATAGATTTTCTCAACTAAATGTTTTTCTTACATTCCTTATTTTATAAAAAGTTTTGTTCACCCAATTTAAAAATCGAGTATCTTTCAACCATGGTGGCCAACTTCCCTTCCCCCTCCCTTCCTTGATCATATCATCCCTGTACTTTACCCTTAACACCTTAACCCATACAAGACTTATGTTTCACCTTTAACATCCACTTCATTTTGTTAGTAATGATATATTAAATAGATTCATGTTTCTCAAAATCAACCCTATCTCTTCCTTTCCCATACATACTTTATTCCAAGCAACCCAATGATTTTTTTTGTCCAAAACTTTCACCTTGTATAAACTATTTTAAAAAGGAATTCAGAGGAAGAAATAATATTTTATGGACCCCTGAAGAATGAGATAAAATAAATTGGGAGTGAGACAAAAAAAAACAAGACAATACAAACTCTAATGAAAAAATTTTGCTATTCCATGACACTATTTTCCCTCTCGATTTATCCACCATTAACTATCAAGTTGACTTTTTCTTATGATGGCAACTCCAAATATTTAAAACAAGACTTCATTGACCTTACAATTTAACACAAATGTTGTTTTGTTGACTCATTATCCTATACTTCAATCCCTACTGATTGACTCATCATGTTAAATATTTTTAGCAATATCAAATATAAAAATGAATATAATGGATCCCATATCTAACATATCCTAGTAAAAAATCCTTCAATGTAGCTACCATTAACTTTAGAATTCCATAATCTGCTTTCTTTACTTTTGGTGAAATCCCGTTCCTTCTATCAATGTATCAAGAAACTTCCAGCATACAAAATTATATGTTTTCTCAAATCCACTTTTGAGCATACTAGATTTGTATGCCTTCTCTTTTCCTCACATGTAACTTTTCATTTGCTATAGCACTTTATCAAAAAATTCCCACCCACTTTATAAAAACTTACTGATTTTAGGATATGATTAAATTCATAACATTACTCAACCTATTTGACATCACCTTTGCCAATATCTTATACATACACCTTATCAACGAAATAGGTATATAATCTCCCAATGCCACTTAATTTTGTTTTTAGGCACTAAGACAAATATATAACTATTAGATTTCCTCACCAATTTCCTTTTGCCACGGAACTCTTACCAAAAGTCCACAAACTCCACTTTGGCAGTCTCCCAAAACCCTATGATAAACATAAAATCCATGCCATCAAACTCATGGTTTATGGATATCTCACAACTCCAAATTGTTTCCTTTGCTTCCTTATTTGCAAATAGCTTCACTAATTCCCCATTTGCATCATTGCTTTCCCCACTTCATGACATTTCTTCAAAATATAGTATATTCCCTTGTTTAACTTGAAATTACCCTAGGAAATGCTATATAACATGTCCCTTAAAGAGTTAAACTCCTATGATAGACTCATTCACTTGAATTCATATAATTTCATTATTTGCTTTCCTCTTAATCATGCAATTATGGAAGAACCTTGTATTTGAATTTCCCTCCAACAACCACTTTGATCTAGTTTTTTTGCCACATCATGCTGCTCCCCCTTCCCATCAATTTATACATTTCCTCCATACCTTCCTTCCTACAAACTACATGCTCTTGACCCAAGTCCATGTTTTTTGAGTGACACCCACCTCTTCCACCACTTTTTTTCACTCTTTATATAATATCTTCAATATTTATACAATACTTATTATACCACCTTTTTGATTGACCTTTTACACCCTTCAAATTTTCTTTTAAGATAAATACCCTCCATTTTTTTCATCCTTAACTCATTCCGGTGTTTTTTAAAAACTCCTTATAACTTACCACCTATTTTTAGTAATTCAACACATGAAAAAGGCTTTAAACCCCAATCTAACACCTTTTATTTCAAGATAATTACACAATAATCCCTACTATGCCACAACTTCCTTTCATAATCATTATTTTGTGATCACAAATCAATCAAACCTGTTAGTTTCTTTACCACCTACCTTATACCAAGTATACTTTCTATTGTGTAGAAAAAACACTTTTTATGTTGGTTCATTGGTCGACATAGAAAGATAAAACTTTCTATATTGCTTGTATTTATGTTGGATTTGTAATTGACAATGAAAGTCTATTTCAATCGACATAAATATGTTTTGTACAACAGTGGTTAGAGATAGGGTATGAAAAGGTTTAAGGACTGAGATTCTTTAGTTTTGATGCTTAAAGGTTTGATTATGAGTTTAGTGATTTTGATTATCCTTGTTGATTTTGCTTATTATGGTTGATTATGTTTTGGATTATGATTTAGATTAATTATTTATGCATTGAGGGAGATTGTTGATTTTATTTACTATGTTGCTTTTTTCTTTTGATTTTTCAAACTCATCTTCCATGACTATCATATCATCACTTAACGACAATACTTTTTTTAAGGAAATATTTAGATTAGGGTAAGACACGACTTCGTGCAATGTTAGAGTCAACCACTAATCTCTTTAAATTTTTTCAATGGGATTACAGACTACCTACTCCATCATTAGTGCAAATTCGCATAAAAAAATATAAAGCATAATATAAGTTGGATTTGATTTCATGTCTTAGCTGATAAATGCAAAAAAAAACATAATAATTTGTGTCACCCTTACAGAAAAATTAACGATAATACTTTTTAGAAGACTTAAAAAATAACGAACAATAATTGAGAAAACAAAACTAGTAAAAAAATAATAAAAAACTAAAAGTAAATTTCATAAAAATATGAGAAACTAAAACAAGTAAAAAATCATTAAAAAATAAAAAATGAGTTCCATAAAAAATAAAAGATTAAGAACATAATTTACACACAATTATATAGTTGTCATATTAGACTAGTTTATTAGATAAATATCATGACTTAAGAAAGTTACTTGATGGTAGAGATAGAAATGTTAGTCGAACAAATTTATTTTAAAAAACACCAGTCAAATTTTATTTATACTTTATTGGGGACCAGAGAAAGGAATAAAAAAAAAAGAATAAGGGAGAATTAATTTAATAAAAAATAGAGTAAATTTTATAATTATTTAATAGATTGAAATTAAGTAATAAATAAAATAAAATTGACATTTATAATTACTATTTTACACTCTATAATATAATTTTAATTAATATTTTTTATATGATGTAATTATATATATTTTATAAATTTTATAAGAATTTCCTCAATAAAAAGAATATAAAAAATAATGTGAAATCTATTCCTAATTTTTATAATTTTCTTTAAATAACATCTACTAAATACAAATATTTTTTTTTTTCTAATTTACTCTAATTCATCTTCTCTCAATTAAATCACTTCCACCAAACATAGGCTTAAAAACTAAAAGTAAAGTTAATTTTTTTATTCCTTTTAGGCTTTTACTGTTATTTATTTTTAACGGTGCTTAAAGCCGTACAATACCACAGTCAGTATAATACGCATAGCATATGCGAGTAATGCGAAGATTTCACGTATAAAAAAAAAATAAAAATGAGAAGACAGTTGAGTGTAATTTAATTTATTAACTTCCTTTAAAAAAAAAAAAAAAAAAAACTTATTCAAACGTGTTGGTGGTGCCGTTGAAGTGAGGAAAATAGGTGAAGGGCGAATCATTCACTTCTCAATTCTCATCTGCTGTCGTCCATTCTGAGTCAGATCGGGAAAACACACGCATTAGGAGTTGAAATCATTAGAACCTCGTTCAAATCGAGACAGGCGCACGTGCCCTCACTCGCCGGAAACACAGGTTCGTCGGAACTCAGTTGGTGAACTTCAAATAGACCCTTTCTTCTCTTCCTCCCAACGCAGGTACTCTCCCCTTAACCCATTCTTTCGCCTTCATGTAAATCTTGTGATACTTTAGGCTCTATTTTATTTTATTTTTTAATTTCTTTGAAAAACCATTGATACAGTCTTATATAATGCTCACACGTTTAATTTTGCTTTTATCTTTTAAATTCAGCTGTATTTTTAATTAGAAACTGCTGTTGTTTGTGTTAGAATTTGAAAATGTCGATGACAAGTGAATCGAGTTGGGTTGGGAGGAAGCCAGTGAAACGCATCGGGGGAATGTCGGATGCTCTATCAATTGCAGCCGATCTTGGTTTCTCCATGTCCCCTCCCTCATCCCAGGTACCATCCTCTCACGCTTATAAACACATTTTTTTAATTGTTGGCTGAATTATTTTGGAAATTGGGTTCCCACCACTTATCTAATGCACCTAGTTTTCAAATAAATTTTAAGAGAGTGTGTTGCTTGCACAAGCACTCCTCTTCTCTCTTTTACCCTCCAATTCACACTATTTTTTTTGGCAAATTGTGGTATGCTGCTGTCTCTCTTTATAGGAAGGACATCAGAATTCATCTCCCACAACTGGGGAAAAGGGTGAGGACTTGATAAGGGTTTTGAGAGAACTGACTACTGTCCAAAGAAAAATTGCAGATTTGCAAGTCGAACTTCAAGGTCGAAAGGTTAGGCTTAGCCAATCCAATTGTATATGTATATGTATATGTATATGGGTCTGGATCATCTGATGTTTAAACAAATCTGATCTTTTCACTAGTTGTTTGAGAATTAGTATTCTGACATAAGTAAAACCAATGCTTTCTTTTGATATTTTAGGTTTACTTATATCTGTCTACTCATCTCGAGATTTGTAAAATTTGTAGGATGACAAAAATGTTGCACATTTGACTCATGTGAGTGAAATGGAAAAGAAGATTGAGACATTGGCAAGGATTACAACTATTCTTAAAGATGTTATTCAAAACAAGGTAATGTAATTAGTCCACTTTAGCTACCACTGGTTTACTGCATCAAAAACAGATTTCACAGGTTTAGTTTATTATTTTTCACATTTATCCATTTGAGCGGTCATGAAATGCCTCAGGAGAGTTTCTTCATAAGTCTCATTTTAGGCTTTCATATTGTCTTGTTTGCTTTCCCTGTTTAACAGTTAGAGTTGAGGCTAAAGTGATCCAGATATAACTAGATAGCTTATTATGTGTTTCTGACATTATTTCATTGCCAAAATTTGTCAGGATCGCATTATAGCTCGCCTGCAGCAGCCATATTCCCTTGATTGCATTCCTGTTGAAGCAGAATATCAGGTTGGTTTAAACTATTATGAAACTAATTACTCTAGAAATCTGCACGATGTTGATTTGATCAATGGTTGGCCATCCAATGGCATTCATAGGCTGTTATGTGTGTGTTTGTATTTTTTTTTCATTGTGTTACTGGCACTGCTCGATGACATACATTTTCTTATTATGTTTTTAGTTCCCGAGTTTGCCGGATGAAGTCTATATGTGATAATTTTATTACTTTGCTAGGATAAGGCATGTTAACCATAAAATGCAGCATTGCAGGAAAAACTTGAAACAATAACTTTAATTGAAGCTGTTCAATTTAAGATAAAAGATTCTGCTATACATTATAAATTACACATTGAGGGGTTTATTTGCCTCACCATCCATTATATGTTGGAAATTAGGAATGTAGTTCACCACTTTCTAGGTCAGTTAAGTGTCATTTGGCATCTGTAATTTCATACTACCTATGTAATGTGTCACAGGCTTAAATATCATATGCATAGTACTTAATCAGCTACAGAGCTACATGAGCTCGTTCAATTGTTCTCAATGTTTGCTCTGCTGAAGTGAAGTGAGTTATTTTGTGCAAAATGTTTTATAAAATTAAAACTGAAGTATAAGGATTATACTTAATTTTATATCTGACTTCTGATAATTTGGAACCGTTACGCCTCAATGGTACTACCATGGAATGAAACTCTATTGGTATAATTTATTTTGTTTAAATATGTTTTTAGTTCGTGCTATGACAAATTTCGGTTTTAGTTCCTGCAATCTGCTTTTTGTTCTCAACTCATACATTTATATTTTTAATATAGTCTTTATCATCATTTAATGAAGATGTGATATGCATCTAGACATGTCACATGCGCAATTACTCTGAGATACCATGAGACGTGATATCATGATTAATGCCACATTATCAACAAATAATGATAGGAATCATTTTCAGAAGTTTTAAAATCAATAAGTACCAAAGCCTACAGTTTTTTACAGGGGAATAAAATTAAAACTCACCATATTTGTAGGAATTAACAAACATATTAAACCTTGATTATTTTGTCCCTATACTTTCACATAGTTATCCAATTGAAATTGCAAGTTTTAATCTTGGAGCAAGATTGGTTTTAATATTACCATATATCCTCACAACCAACTTTAGTTGAAAGAGTGTGAATTTTAATCAAAGCAAGACAGGGATTGTAATGTTTGTCATATATTTCTCTAATTTGTGCAGAAACAATTCTCTGAACTACTGATGAAGGCAGCTAGCGATTATGGTGCCTTGACAGCATCAGTTGCAGATTTTCAGTGGAGTCAGAATTTCAAGGAACCTCCTTCAGTTTGGGGGGTATGCTTCTGCGTTCCTTTTATTGCTTGAAGTTAGTCATTAGACATTAGGACATTCTGTTTCCATTATGTCTCGACTCTCAAACCAATTTGCATCCCTAGACCCTAGTTTTAACCTTCTATCTTGCGTTGCTTACCTTTAATATTATAACTGTTAGTTGAAAACAGCAGGAAAATGACTCGGTGAGTAATTACAAGTCTATTTAAGTCCATTTTGGCACTCTAAAATTGCTCTAAATCCGATCAATTTACCTGCAATACTATAAGTGGTGTTTTGAAATAGTTACAATGAAATCATTGACATGTGAAACACAAAGCTGTAAGTTCTTTAATTCTTAATCTGAGATCAAGAAACTAATTTTAGTGCTTGTTGCATGTTCTGAAGGTTATGCATTTTATCACATTTCAGTAAATGTTTTCAATGGCAACAAAGTGCACATTACTTTGAGGACATCCTGTGTTTTTGGCTACACCTTTTTGTGTTTGCTACTTTCATTTTAAATGAAATTACTATTTATTTTTCTCCAGGAAATGCTTCGACCCATTCCTGTAGCTTTGGCATCTTGCACTCGGTTCTTTGAGGCCATGTCTGCCACAAGAGAATCATTTGCAACACTTCAAAAACTGAGAGTTGGCCATTTTGATTCCCCTCTACCTAGGACACCAGCCGGAGATCCTTCCCAAAGAGTACCGGGAGTTTCTGATTGTCTAACACCACCTCCATGGAAAACTGAAGCAAACTTTGATGACTTAGGCATCAGAAACCAAAGGAGGCAACATCCAGATCAACAGGTGGAGGATGTAAACAGCTAGGTAAATGAGATCCCTCAGAATATTTGTACAAGCCTAAGGATCTTGTCTTGCCTGCCTTCAGTTAAAGAAGAGCGTTACATAGATATCTAACATACTCTGTGTATCTTGTGTGATATATCATACTTCTATTGTTTATGCAAATCGATTATTCGTCGCTGTTGTTTCAGAATAATATATTTCAATCACTGCAACTAGCGCCTATGTTGCAAGGCTAAAAATTCAATTTGAATAATTTAAGGTGACTTTTGCAACCGCCACTTTAGAGTTTAGATATGTAATAAAAGAAAACTGCCTAACATGTGTTTCAAAATAAAGATTTTGTGAACCACTAGGGTTGTGAGTTTGTGACCCTAGTGGTGTGAAAGACTAAAGTAGTATGAATGAGGATCTAGGTTTTAATCCTATTATGAATAATGTAAAAAAAAAAAAGATTTTCTAAATTAGTGATGAAAATCAAACTATAATTAAAAAAAAAAGTTACAAGGAAAACTAAAATAGAATTGGAACAATACATATGTTAGGTTGTCTGCACTTGAAAAGCCAGCTCTTGTCTTAATCTCTACAGTGTTACGTTCCGTTGAAGAGTGTTATGGTGGTTGGAGTTGAATTTTTCATTTTCTTCGACTTTTAAAGCAATGTCACATCCATGCATTTTTGTATCAAGTTCAAAGTGTTGTAGATTGATGACAATTGAACAATATATCTTGGTGTTTAGCAATGAACACTCGAATTGAATTTTTTTAATGCCAACTCTCTTTCGTTCATATACCAGTCCAGCTCTCTGGATTTCAATGTGGGCTGATGAAACAAGTTGAGTTCATCTATATTCCATGAGTTGACACTTTCAATATTCATATTTGTGTTTAAATTTGTTTTTATGAAGAATGCAACTTAAAGCATTAAAAATAAGAGAAATGCTAATGATACACTTATTTTTTTAACTTCTATTTTATATTATTGATTAAAATTTATTAGAAATTATAAATTTTAATAATTCTAATATTTCATTCACAAAATCTTCTAATTTAGAGTCGAGATATAATAAAATTTATATAAATTTTAGTCAATAATGATGAGAAGTATTAAAAAGGAGTGTCAAATAAAATTTTATAGAGAATATCACTACATTCTTATCGTAAATAATGAAAAACAACTTAAAATCATATTCCATTTCTTTTGATCCATCAAAATTATAATAATGATATCAAATTTTAAACTTAAAATTGTGCATACAACTTAAATTTCTCACCATTAAGTTGATTTTAGTGATTCTATGAAAATCTATATCTAATATAATTATAAAAAAGAATGTTTTGAATATTTGTAAATCTATTTTTAAAATTTTATGATTTTATAAAATTAATTTTAGGAAAAAGTTAGTGAAAGTGAAATGATTTATATTTACATATTATTTTTTGAAAATTTGTATCAAAATTACAAATAAAACGTTTGAATTGTGTTGTTTTTCATTTTTATTGACGTATGCTTTTAGGAGTAATTCTAATTTTGGTTAAAAGTAATCACATTTCCCCCCTAAAAGTTTTATTAGACACGTTTGGGATGTCAGAGAACCAAACTTAGCATTACTAGTATGAATATTCCCCATTCACAAAAAAACGTATGGATATTATTTTATAATTTTAAAATTATTTATAATTAATCGATTGAATACTATTTTATATACACACTAACACACTCACATTTCCTTCCACTTTATATAGCATCTTCATTTTACATCAAATTATCACTTCGATTAAAAAAAATATAAAACCTGTCAAATTGAAAATGTACAAATTAGTGGGTTTTTCACGTGACAAATAACATTATAATTTTGGTAAAATTATAAGTTGGTCATTTTACTTTTTTTTATTATTTATTTCTTAATTGTCACAAATTTATTTAATACAAAATGCATGAATAAATAAAGCAGGTGAAATTGCTAAAAAAGAAACAAGAAAGAAAAATAAAAACGCGGGAACACTAACCGTTCGCTTAAACGAACATCTTCTCGTTTTCCGTCCTATATATATTGATTCCTTTGCTTCTCCAGACTTCATTCATAATTCAAAAATCACTCTCACAGTTCTTCAGGCATATTCAAATTTTCCCTCTAGTCACGATGCTTGCGACGCTCAAGTAAGTCACAAAATCTATTACCATTACTTTTCCATCTCAGATTTTCAATTCTACCTCACAATTTGATCGGCAATGACTTTCAGATCCGAAGAATCCAGCGGCCAGTTACAGCTCGTCGAACGAGAAGACATTGACGACGATGAAGACCTCTTCGAAGCCATCGATAAACGTATATTCATTCTCTTAACTCTGTTTCCTCTTTCGTTTTCGTGGTTCTTCATTTTAATTAGATCAACGCACGAAAAACCGATCTCTGTATTCAACTTCTTTCCGCTCTTTGATTCTGAGCGTTTTTGTTAGATTACATTTTCACTGAACAAGTCATTACGACTGTAAAATCATCCTCAGTGATCTTCGTTGTCCTTCTCTCCGGTTCTTCTGAAAACAGCGTTCTATTTTGAAAAGCTTACTTCCGTACTGTTTGATTATTGGAAAGACATTTTTAATTCGATTCACAACAATGTGCATCTACGCAGTGATTGCTCAAGGCATCAATGCCGGAGATGTGAAGAAGCTTCAGGACGCAGGGATATATACTTGCAACGGCTTGATGATGCACACAAAGAAGGTTGAACTTAAAATAAATTTCTGATTTGAATATTAGGGACGTGGAGTTACTCTGTACGTAAATTGTTAACTTAATTTTGTTGTATTTTCGAAGAACTTAACTGGAATCAAAGGTCTATCTGAGGCCAAGGTCGATAAGATCTGCGAGGCTGCCGAGAAGATTGTGGTATGATATTGAAATTTATGAAATCTAAGTCACTTCAAAATACTATTTCAATTGTTCATAATTTGACCTTCCTGCGATGCAGAATTTTGGTTACATTACCGGAAGTGACGTACTGCTCAAAGTACGTTGTTTATTGTGTCTGTATTTGTTTTTTTAAATTATGGATTCGATTTAGATTTTCATGTGTTTAGCGTTTTAGAAATTTCGGTGACTTCCGTTAAGCTTAAGTCATCTTAATTAGTTTTACTTGTATTGAGTATATAGTTGTCCTCTGTTATTGCAGAGGAAGTCGGTGATCCGAATTACTACCGGAAGCCAAGCGCTTGATGAATTGCTAGGAGGTAGCTTTACACCGAGAGTTTCTTTCTTATTGTCTTGTATGACTCTAATGCTCGTAAATATTTTCTCTATGAAATTTCCTTTCTAAAAAGGTGGGATCGAAACTTTGGCAATTACAGAAGCGTTTGGAGAATTCCGGTGAGAACACAGCTCTTATTTGGTTTCGGATAGATTCGATTCCTATTTAGTCTTAGAGATTCATTTCGAGGATATCGTTTTATGTTTCAGATCCGGGAAAACACAACTTGCTCACACTCTGTGTGTTTCCACTCAGGTTTTCTTCTATGCTGCATCCTTGGTCATGACGTGTTAGGTGTTAGTTATTGTTGATCAGTATTTGTAATTGAAATTGTTCTCTAAGTTTTCTTGTCACGTATAGCATTAGGGTGGATGAACAGAGTGTTGAACTTAGTTTTTTTTTCTTCTTCTTTTTCTGAAGCACATGTTTTTATCTCTTGTATGCATTGCACTCGTAGCTTCTTAAACACCGAATTTCGTATGCGTACGGTGCTAGTCTTATTTTCACACGCATTGAAATGATTGGTGTATACTACTGATATTTTCTGACCCCTCCAGCTGCCAACTAATATGCGGGGAGGCAACGGAAAAGTTGCTTACATTGACACAGAAGGAACTTTGTATGTTTTTCTCTCTTCGCCTTCAAATAAGTGAATAACTATTAAGAACTTCTAGTCACCTCTGCATGGATAACTTGACCAATGTTTCTCGTTCATTCACCAATAACTGTAGCCGACCTGACCGAATTGTTCCAATTGCTGAGAGATTTGGCATGGATCCCGGGGCTGTACTGGACAATGTAAGTTTACTCCGTTTCATGTATCGTGAGTAGGTTCCGAAGGTGATGACACCTAAACATATTCTGTTTGTGACTGCGCAAGATTATATATGCTCGTGCCTACACTTACGAGCATCAGTACAACCTCCTCCTTGGTTTGGCTGCTAAAATGTCCGAAGAACCATTCAGACTTCTGGTGAGATCTTACTCTAACGAGTAACTGAGTTATCTTTGCATTTCGCGATATCATGGGATATGGACGGTTGACGGAATTTATTTTGGCAGATTGTGGATTCGGTGATTGCTCTGTTTCGGGTGGACTTCTCAGGAAGAGGAGAGCTTGCCGAGCGTCAGGTCTGTCATTTACGTGCACTTAAACTCCCTTTTCCTAAGTCAACTTTTGCTGACTTGAACAAGTGTTTGCAGCAAAGACTGGCACAGATGCTTTCTCGATTGATAAAGATAGCTGAGGAATTCAATGTTGCAGTTTATATGACAAATCAAGGTAAATTCTGCTTTGTTGATTGAAGAGTTTTCAGGATTAGTTCTTCATCCTCAAGTTCCAATTGATTGTTTGCAGCTGTTTATGACAAGAGGCATGATACTTAACTACACAATTATTATGTGTTTTGGTTGCACAGTCATAGCTGATCCAGGAGGTGGAGTGTTCGTAACTGATCCAAAGAAACCAGCAGGAGGGCATGTGCTAGCCCATGCAGCCACAGTAAGATTGATGTTCAGGAAAGGGAAAGGGGAGCAGCGCATCTGCAAAGTGTTTGACGCCCCCAACCTGCCAGAGGCTGAAGCAATATCCTTTTACCTCTGCTCATTTAAAATAATCTATTCGTTGAACAAAATATGCCTGCAGTTAACTTCCAAGTATGGTTTATAATCCGCCCCAAATCAGTAGTTACGAAATTATAGTTGTTAAACAATATGAAATTAACTATCACATAATTCTAAATAACCAGCCACATTAAATTTTTAAAATGGGGGCGAAAACACAATCATAGCTAATTTACCTTTCGAAAACAATTACGGTACATTAACGAGCAAGGAGAAAATTATCTCTACTATCCGCGTGTTTTTTCTTGACAGAGTTACGTGTTCCAGATAACCCCGGGGGGCATTGCAGACGCCAAGGACTAAAAAGCCGCTTCTGACTTCTGGACCGAATCCTCAACAGAGAAAGCTGGCTGAATATATCTAGTAACCTTAATCTTCCAGATATTTGCTTAAAGTTTGTATGAAAAGTGCTGACTTGAACAGTCTTAGTAATTCCACTAATATCATATACACCCTTAGTTATACACGCTTCTTTTATTGAAAGTAGCAATATATTTTGCAATTTCGACGTTATGCAAACATTAAAAATCTTGCTACAAATGACTTTCTAGGGTGAGCCTACTTATAACATTATAAGCATCACATTGATAGTTTAATTAGGGCACAATAAGGGCTAAATAAAACCAGATGAAACAAAGGCAGTAAATAACCATAATTTTTAGGATGAACCTGTCCGCAAGTTTATATTATTACATAATATGTGCCAAGAGAGTATGAGCTTAATATTTTGCTTGAAAGCAACTTGTACAGCTAAATGAAATCATATCTCAGATTCAGGAACTAAATAAATATGACATGCTAAGCCTCGCTAGAGCCTCTCAAAGTCATCATCATATTATGCGAACAGATCCAGAACTTGAAAATTCAGCTGAGTACAGCTATGATAAAAGCCTTAATTCAAACAGAATGAAATAGCAATCAGATATTATCAGACCAGTTAGCAGCACTCCCAACCCTTGGCATGCCAGTTGTTTCCTTCTTAGCCTCGGCATCCACCTTGAATGTGGCACCACACACCTGTCCAGAACTGTCAACCCTTGGTACAGGCTTCAGCTCATTAAGTGGATGCTCAAAACTGCTCAAACCTCCGGATGTTGTAAAGAAACATCCTGAACATAGGATAATATGTTACTTCTTGCATGAAACTATTGATTGTATGAATGTGGAATAAATGTAGACAGTGAACAGTCAATCACATACCTTGAAATGAAAGGGATAATTGCAATGTAAACAATAATATAAAAGTGCTCGAGAAACAAAAGAAAAACAAATATCATTTGTAACCAAACTAAAATAGTGTCAGTGTGATCTCACAGAAAATGTTCAACACAGGGAACTTGTATAGTCAAACTGTCATTCCAAAACAAATCATTATTACCTTGGGGGAATGGAGCCGATGATTTCCCACAGCTCGCGGTTACAATCTCTGCTTCATCTGAAAAAACGAGATTTCCATCAGCATCAGTTCCCCAGACAAAGGGAACATTCCCATCAGCATCCTGTAAAAGACCAGTACGCCAGGTTAGAGAAGAGAACTATTTTCAAATATCAAAGGAAAAGAGATGGATCAAGGATAACTCACCGCAGCAACAAATGCAGTCTTAGAACCACTGTCATACAGAATAAATGCAAATTTGCCTTGGAAATCTCTCACAACCTGATTAGCAGGATAAGGACCACGGTCTCTTAGAGTCCTGTATGCCTCTATGATAATGATCACCTCGGTTGCTGTTTTATTCAATCCATACTGTTGCTTAAGATTAGCAACATTCTCAAGGTGACCTTGGAACAAGCAGAAAATGTCATCCACCACTGCAAACAGCCTGGCAACATAAGAAAACAAACATATAATTAATTCTCAAGAAAAGAGTAATCTTCAACAACTTATTTCTTTCATATTCTTGCAGACATGCTGATTTTACTGATCAACGAGAAAGTAGGGGAGAAATTACAGCAAAACATTTGAGAGGAAAGTTTAGGTAAGTACTGCTCTAAGGCCCAAGCAGAATTGTAACCTAGTGATAGTGTGAATTTATTTTTTATCTCATTAAAATTAGTAAAGAAGCACTAGCAAGAAGCCACATAAAAAGGTTAGGACCAAGTTAGAAAGATTAAAAATGGAGCATCACAACTACCGTAGAATGCCTTCTACTGGTGGGGAGGGAGGGCAAAAAGGAAGGTGACAAAATGCAGTTACTTCTCTAACAATATATTTTAAGATGTCTGAAAGAATAAAAGTATTTTATCATACCCAAATATCCCATCCAGGGGAATCTAAAGGATTTTCATATATAGTATAACAAGGGTTAATTTTTTTCTTGTCTTGTATTAACGATTAAGGTCATCAATAGAAACAAGATAGATAATGCCAGAACCGAAAAAACTCAGACGGAATCACATACTGGTTATAAAATAAGGAGATCAAACCCACTATTATCATAAAATAGGGCCAAACCTGATGTCCGGCCAATAAGATTAAGATCAGGACAACCAACAAGAACAACTTAAGAAAACACCATAAAGCCACGAGAATCCAAGAACCAATAATCGAGTTCTACAACAAGACACTAAGTAACATACAAGATCCAACTAATATTGAATTTGGCGAAAAACTAGTGATCCCGAATGAGGGAAAAGAAAAGAAAGTGGACCTGGGGAGGAGGGGGTTTTGTCTGTGAAGAGAATAGGCTAAAAGACCAGAAGTGCCAAGATTGACGGTGACGGAACCAGGGTGGACGGAAGAGAAGTGGTTGGCTAGAAAGGCATCTTTAAGGGAAGAGAGAGAATTAGAGTTAGGGGTCTGCAGAGCCTCTGGGCTCTTTGCAACAGATTTATGGAAAACTGCCAACATATTTGGTGGATGTAAAAGAAAGGAACAAATGCAGTTGAAGGAGATTGTGAGATGCGATGTGGTTAATATAAGGTTCTGCAATCCAACAACGTCGTCTCTTCACTTGTTACCCATTATGCCCCTTCCTCCACTTTTGGGATAATAATTTTTAGAATTTTTCTTTGGCCAATGCCCATCGTACATTCACACTCTTTTCAAATTCCCACAACTATTCTTGTCCTTCTTTTTTTCTTTTTCTTTTCTGGAAATTCATTTTCACAAAAACAAAACAAAATGATATTACAAAAGGACAAATTTATAGGCATATGCATGAGCGCCACCTGCCGCTTTCTCGTTAAGGCTTTGTTTGGATTTGAAGATGGAAAAGGAGAAGTGGAAAAAGAGGGATTTGAAGGGAAAGTGAGGTTGTTTAGATTAAGGGAAAGTGAGCGAAAAGTGTAGAGAAAATTTGTGAAAATTTGTGAGTGAATTGATTGATGTGATAGATAAAAATAAATTTTTTAATTGATAATTTTGTAAGATTACTATTTTTTCCTTAGGTTAAAAAAAAGTTTATAATTATTATAATTAAAAGATAAATATAAAAAATTTAACTAAAAAAATAAATATAAAATCTTAATTTAAAAATAATTTAATTTAAATATTTGCTTTAAATTTAATGATAGATAAAAATTAAAAATTTAATAGATGATTAATAGGTATAATTTATTAAAAAATAAATAAATAATGATAATAAATATTAGAAAAATAATAAGAATCATAATAAATAATAATGATACTAATTATAATAAATAATAATAATATTAATAATAATAATAATAATAATAATATTTATAATAATAAATAATAATAACAAAATATATTATGATAATTATATTTTCTAACATTATTTTATTAATGTTTATGAAAGTGTTATTATTTTAATTTTATAAACATGTATTACTTTATTTTTTTTATATTTCTAGTTTTTTATGTCAATATTTAAATAATAGAATTTTCTTAATATAAAAAAATGTACAATAAAGTTTTTGAAAGTTAATTAATAAATTAAAAAAATTGATAAATCATTGACATAAATTAGAATGAAATGAAGATAAATTTGTTAATTGTATAAGTTAATTTTTACCAATTAAAAAATTAAGAAATTTTTAATATTACAAATTTGGGGGTGCATTTTATCCAAATTGGAACGGCCCGTTCTCAACTAATGTTTTTAAGCCAATTTACTAGTTTCGAACAGCCCGTTCCAGGATACTAAATTAGCCTTATTTTAGTATTTTGGAACGGGCCGTTCTAATTTTGGAACGACTCGTTCTGGGAATGCCTGGAAGCGAAAACGTGGCAGCATAATCGATTATGTATGCATACATAATCAATTATGTGTTAGGATAATCGATTATGCCAACCTATAATCGATTATGCATCATGCATAATTGATTCTGGGCTGGCATAATCGATTATGCCAGCCTATAATCGATTATGCATGGTGCATAATCGATTATGTTAGCATATTTTTGCTTCAATTTTTCACCTCTTTTCAATTTTTGGGTAGGATATTATCAGGTTTTCATAAATCTTACGTGGCTTTCATCTCTTTTCTTCGCTTTTGTACGAGGACGGCAACGGCGCTTCTCCCCCTTTTCTTCGCCTTTCTTTCTTTGCAAATCACCGGAAACAAACACACTTTTTTCGCCTTTGGTTGCTCGTAAACAGTAAGTCATTGGAAACAAAAACTACCTAAATACTCTAATAAATAATACTATTATAACTTTTTAATCTTCTTCTTTTTTATTTAATATAATATAATATAATATAATATTCTAACTTTATTTTATTAAATATAATATCATATTACAACCTAAAATTGAAATATAAAATTTCAGGTTCTTTAACATTCAAAATAAATTCCAAAATTTAAATCAAATATATAATAATATTTTTTTATACTATATTTATCTTTTACTTAAGATAATTATGCTAATTTTTTTATAATATCTAATAAGATTAGGTCTATGTTTTAATTATAAATAACAATAACAAATTTAATATATAACATAAAAGAAAATTATTAATATTGAGCTTTTTTAGTAGTTTTTTTTACAAATGATGTCGTATTAATTTTTTTATTGTCAAATTGTGAATTAGCTTTTTTTGTAGTTTATTTGAATTGAACACTCAACTATTAGACTAATTCGATCTAATTTTAATATTAATGATATTAACTCAAGTTGAATTAGGATTACTTAGAATATAGCTCAAATCCAATTTAATAATAAATAAATTTTAGTTTCTAAACCTTAAATCTGTAAATGAATTTTTGAATTTACTTAAATTATACTAATACTATGAATTTATATACATTTTTAATAAATGTTAGTATAATATAGAATAATAATATTTGCAATCGTTACTTAAAAAAGTATATCTAAAATGATTTATAATTAATTAGCATATAAATTCAAGCGTAATTTTTTTTATTTAGTTCAATTGATTAAATAATGTGAATTCCTGAATGATTCTTACATTAAAAAAAAAGGGGAAATTTTTGTTTTAAAAAATGACTGCAGAACGGACAACACACTAAACCGACATTTCCGCAAAACTAAGACGGGATTCTGCTTTACTGCACTGAATGCATCAAAATCGAAGTCATTGTCCAATGCAAATCATCTTTGACTAAATTTATAGATTAGATATACTGATCTTTCCGATCTTTATCCCATTTAAAATTTTGATATAAAAATTAAGAAATTTAATTAATATTTTAGATTTTTATAGCAATTATTGTACATTTTAATATACATTTTATTTTTTATATTAATTAAATTCTCTCTTTTTTAATTTTATTTACAATAATTAAAAATTATAATAAAAACATATTTAATAATTTATTAACAATGTAAAATAACAAAACAATAATAAAAAAAATTGTTAGAACATTAAATAAAATAGAACAAAGTGAAATATTTTGACTTAATAATTATTAGATTTAATTTAGAACATGATACTTAACCTGTATTCACATGACCGATGTTTATCAATGTTAAAATAATTTCTTGTTAATAAAAATCACATCCAAAAACATAAATCAATTATTAGTTATCAAATTTAAAGCACCGTGTGGAACATATCTATAAATAAATAAAATTTGAAACCAAAAAATTATTTAGTAAAAAAAAGAGTAATCAATTATTTATAGTAAATTATCAATTTTAATTCCTAAAATATCACTCTTTTCCTAGACAGTCCTTAAATTATTGAATTATATAAATAACCCTTAAAATATTAAAATATATACTATATAGTCTCTCAGTTATTAAAGAATTCTTCAAATCAGTCTCTAAATATTAGTAAAATATATTAATCGATAGACTAAATTAATGTATATCTAACACTTTAAAAACTAAATATATAATTTTATTTGTTCGAGAACTATTTAAACGAAATAATAATACTTCAAGAGCTAAATTGCTGGTGTATTCTCTAGTATTAGTTAAAGAAGTAATCATAAAATTTCGATCCAAAATCATGTCAAAAGTATATTAAATATTATGATTAGATATATTAATAATATTTTTTATAAAAGCATTTTCATTTATTTTTATTATAATGTGTTTAAAGTAGTACTGATTAACATGTGCACACGAAAGATACAAGTCTACGTTTTGTTGTTGTCCGTGCTAAAATATTAATTTCTTTTCAAGTGACGGTTCTCACATCCCAAAATAAGATTTTATTTTATTTTTTATATATAGAAATTAAATACATGTTCAACCACCTCAACTAAATCCTCTTGTTTCCCAAATCTTGTTTACCAAAGAATAAGGTTTGAGTTATCAAACTAGTAGTACGCGAAAAATATAAAAGGGTCTGAATTAGAATTAGACAACCAGCAACCTATATTTTTACTTTAAAATTCAAACCTCTTAAACGAATCACTTCCAAAATTTCCAATACTTTGAAACTGTTATTTTCTATAAACTAATTATTTAACTGTTACAAAGAAAAATACAACAAAATGGAATTTAGGGTATACCTGGCAAAAAAATTGAATAGTTGATTGATTTACAAGGCCATATTGGCTGAAACAAAAAATCAGACCCGCGTGCCATGGATGAATCATAATTCATCATGATATAAGGAAAACGACTAAGCATATTTAACAACTGATTCTCAGATAACCATCTTCAGTTCCAATGAGAAACAACCGAGAAAATGGGAGTATACTAATACATGATAACGCTGACAAGCTTCTCATTCCATTATCAGATACATAGAGTTTCTGGGGGATAATGCGATGCTGCCCATCCTGTGTCATGGAATCACATAATCAGGATAAAATTTTTAAATTTTGAGCACAAATTTATATCTGTATTATATTATTCTTAAACAATGACATCATGCTTTCCTTTACTGATGAGCACCTAAAATAAATAAATAACATCAAGCCATATCAACCATATGCATTACACTATCTTAAAACTGTGAAGAGATGATTTGCTGGAAGTCTGGAAGGTTCGGTTTTAAATAAATGTTTTCAGCAGAGTGATATATTACTGAGGAGCGGAATCTATACGATAATATGAACAAGGGGGATCACATCAAGCAACAAGATATAACCAAAGCAAGAACGAACCATTATTTTGACATCTAAATTGGGTGCTACACAAGCAAAATTAACATATCATCCATTCTAATTCCTATCCTCGTCTCGCAAGCCGTGAGCCCCAAAAAAGAATATCTTACTGTTTCATTGGCAGATTTAGATAAGGAGAGAAGCCCAATCCTATTCCGGGAAATTGAAATAACATCTTGGCCCCAAATGGAGAAACTGGATATGCCATCTGAATGACCTCTGTAGATAATGGGCTGTAATGGCAAATTCCTGCAAGGGGTAATAGAGATGAGCTTCAGGATATGTATCTTCAATAAACACACATGCAATTTTCAAGCGCAGAATCAAATTGATGAAAACGTGAAACTACAGAAACATGGAGAGCAAGGAAAGTCCAAGACTGACATGACAATGAATAAAGAAACATAAGAGTGGAGGTGAAATAAGTTTTATTGCTCATCTTGATCATTGATAAATTCTTTAATTTCCTAAGTGAATTTATATGCACATAGTCACCTACATCTTATAAAAGCATTCTTATCATGTAGTTTGTAAACTATCAGCAGGTGTATTATGCAATAAGGATGGTCATCCTTCAAACCTCAATCAACCATTTGCTTTACCTTCTAACAACTTTCATGTGTCAAAAGGCACAAAACTTTGATCTCTTAAAAGAAGCATAAGAGAGACAGTTCTAATGGTCCTAAGTTCCTAATGAATTGAAATTGATAGCTCTTACATTCTTAAGTCCCAGACTCGTAAAGTTCTATCCAGAGAGCTGGAAACAAGGAGATGTTCCTCAGGTGCTGCCAACTGTGAACAAAGACATTGATGAATCTGTGTGTAAAACAAAATTGGGTAGCCCTAATATTAGGAACATAATTGACATACCTTTGTCACATATGCATCGTGAGCTCGCCAAGAGGAAATGACATTTCCACTCTTTGCATCAAATAATTTACAGTGACCAGAACTTAGTCCGGCTGCAATAAAAGATGGCAAAGTGGAAATTCCACCTGCTTGCATCCTCTCAGAGCCAGTGGAACAAATGGCAGAAATAAGGGAAGGAAAACTAGATTCAGTAGATTCGCCTCTCCACATATGAAGCTTTTGACCTCGAGCAACATCAATGAACCTGTACAGTACAACTAAGATTCAAAAGTTGGCAGGCATCAACATATTTTCTAATATCTAATTGAAATAGCATTCAAAACAAAGAATTAATTTCACCTCAGAGCACCATTTCCAGTGCCAACTACAAGAGTTCCAGCGGAGGATAATTGATGCATACAAGTATAAAGACTTGAATCAAAAGCACTAGACAGTATTCCATTTGAAAGTGTATTCAAATTAAGCACGTTAGCTTGGTCACTGTTAATTTTTGGTGCAGAGGATGGATGGCTTGTAGGATTGCCAGTTTCTGTTTGGGACTCAGCAAATACTAATATTTGCTTCCCTGTTTGACTATTCCAAATGTGAATTGTTCCATCACAAGATGCAACTCTTCCACTAGATGATAAGATGCAAATATCATTCACAACCTGAAATTGGAGATAATATATGACTGATGTATATATAGCAGAAGTTGTTACCAAGATAAATGCATATCTAAATGCCATCTGAAGTTAAAAAAAAAATAAAAAATTATAAGCACAGCTCAACTCACGACTAATTGTTAAGACCGGCTATACTAATTAATTGTATTTGTTGCACACTTGCACTAGTTCATAATACATTCAATCAGGGTTGGTCCCGACTTTCTATAGGCTCTAGGCAAAATAATAAATTAAGATTTCTTAAATATAAGTATAAAATAAAAATATATTTAATAAATTATAGACGTGTAATTTTATTAAGAGAATTATACATCTTATTATATTAAATGCATAATATATTTTTAGAGAGGACAAGTATAGTTGTAGTGTAGTTTTTTTTTTTCTAAAAAAAAAATAAAACAATTTCTTTATGTATCAATTACAATTTCATTAAGTGCAGTTTTCATTTTTTTTTTTTATATATCAAACAGCATGAATGTAATATGCTTTTTTATTTCATAATACTTTTTTTCAGTATTGTTATTTAATATGAAACTGAAAGACAGTTCTAATGATCAAAAACTGAAAGACAGTTTTTTTTCATAAATAAAAAGAAAATGAATGACAGTTTAAGCATGAACCTAAGATCCTTTATTTTAAAAACGTTTAAAAATATAAAATGAACTCAAGGTGTTAAGATATGTACAAATATAAAACAAGAAGTATTTTCTAATTTTTTTTTTTCTGCAAAATATGAGACTAAAAAAATTGGGCCTCTCCCAATTAGGGGCCCTAGGCAACTGCGCTTCTAAACTACCATCAGCAGCTCTGCATTCAATCACAGCATAGCCCATTTTGTTTTAAATCATCATCCATCATGCTTTACTTTGTACTTTGCAATACGCATATTGATACCACAGTTGATACATAATAGTATTGAATAGTTCTTTGCTATGAAAATATATAAATAATATAGGGATCTAAATCAAGCAGCAGTTCTCCATGGATGAAGAATGTCATTTTCAGCAAAGAATGAAGAAACAAACCTCCTCATGGCCATGATAGCTGGACAGACAGTTAGTTCGGCTCAATTCCCATTTCTGAACACTTCCTTTATATCCTTGGCCAATTCCTGCAGTAAAAACAGTACATTCATCTTGAACAGCCAGAGACCTCACTGCTCCATGATGTGCCCGTATAGAGTATATAACAGATGCTCTAATCTTCCATGGAAATTCTTCTTTCTGAATACCCACCCTCCCAAGAAATTCAGGCCCATCCCAGATGGTGGCTGGACTAGGGAACCAAAACCAGGGATCGTGGTTCATTTGGTATGACATGCCTTCTTGCATTACTACTTGACTTTGATGAACTTTTAATGGTCGTCTCTGAGGGATCAAATTTTTGGCACTTCTTCCTTGGGATTGTGGAATCGACCATCCAACCCCATTAAGTAACAGCTTTGCAGGATTGTATTCAGATATAAATCCCTGGGCTACAGGTCTTCTAGCAATAATATTTTCTGAGCCGTTTTTTGATGATTCTCCTGCATATTCCCACTAAACCACAACAGGTTTAGAAATAAGCAACAAGAAAGATGTACATGAGACTAAGGACAGAAATTATCACACCAAAAAACACATGCAACTTTTCCATTCATATAGGGGAAAAAAAGAAAAGAAAATGTAGCATACCTTCCAATTATGATGACGTAGAAGATATTGTTCAAGAATCAACCATGTGGCACAGCATTGACGAAGTTTCTCTATCCCAAGAAGAGATGCAAAGGAAGGATAGAGAACCGACCTACATACGACCCAGAAGACTTTTTACATACTAAAAAAATAAATAGGACCAATAAAACAGACGTTATAAAATAATACAAACTTGAAAGTGAGTCTAGGAGGACTATACACAGCCTATTTACAGTAAGGAATCAATGCACTTTGATCATGACAACTTGATTTATTGATCCAATTGCACTCGACCATGATTTTACAAAATTAAGCACACATAAACCTTATTCAGTGACAGTTTGCAATGCCTGACCTTATGCCTAAATTAACTCTCATGGTTTCAGTAGAATGTGCAAAGTAAACGACATTTTTGGATTGAAAGAAGATCTGGCTAAAAGCTTATGTCTCCTAGAAATGATGAGTTAAGGTAATTAATTGATCTTTCAAGTCATTTTCTCATCAATAAGTCAAGTGCTTCACAGATGCGTTTCTAATTATGATAATTAATCCTGTATTCTGATGATAGGTGGGCCACTACAAAATGTAATACTATATCAGGTAGAAATGTGTCAACTTTTGCAAATCAGGAAGGACACTGCAATTGGATTGAAAAATCAGGTTAGCAAAGTTAAATTGAAGCTCATAGTGGGTGTATATACACTTGAGAATATTTAGGAATACACTAAAGGAATTTATTATTATATGTTTGGTTTAGTTAAGCACATTAAATAATGCATTTTATTTCTAGTTGATGTTAGAAATATGGATTTGTGTTATCATTAAAATCAAAAGAAAGATATGAAGCCAAAGGTGAAGAATGGAGTTAGTGTCTCAGATACTATGCTCTGAATTTTATCACAGCAAGAGAGCTTGTTTTACTAGCTTTTACAGCTGTACAAATAACATAAATGAATAACAAGTGAAGCTGAAGATATAGAACTAAAACAGTAATAGTAACAAATTCCTATATTGGCTATCAATTAGCCATTAGGATTGCCTAACCAAAGATATTGTCTCTGTCAATGAGATCCAGCATTTTTTATTCGTGCAGTAAATCACTGTATCATATATGGGATTATATCACCTAGCATTATTAAAAGGTTTAGTATACAGCGTATTTTTAGATTTGACATTAACCACTAATATGGCTTGAAAAACATTCATTATGTGTTGCACCAAATAGCAGGAGGGTAATTTGTCCCAGCATAAAACCTAGTTCAGAAGGCAAAATTGACACTCACACTAAATCCATACGACTTTCAATATGCAAGTTCCCTCCAATTTTTATTTTGCCAACCTTCAAGTTTCTGCCAACAGTAGTTGAACCTTTAGAAATTTCCTGGGAGAAAGCAAGCTCATCAAATAGTTCTTTAAGTTTTGGAAGAATATGCAATGCTGTCAAATCTGCTCCAATCCGCTGACAAATTCCAAAAAGAGTAGTAGCAGCAAACTGACAAAGAGAAGGCAACTATAATTATTTAACAATTTAGGTGATTATTGATACATTATGCGACGAAATAGAGCAGACATCACCACACTATTGGTATACAAGCCAAATAAAAGGCAGGAGCAATAAAACAGTTCAGAAGTAGTGCTACATTTTGTTTTATGAGCAATGCTGAGTTTAAAGGCCATGAGCCAAGGCACAAAACTCAATCATTGACACCGTATCTCTTCAATTTTACCATTCCAATTAAACAAGTTATAAAAAATTCCTGATATTTTCACATAAAACTGTTTAATTCCTTAGTGGCTTACTACTAAAAAGTTAATGATCCCTGGTAAGGGTTATGGTAATATGCCAATTAGAGCCAACAGAACCAAGGAATGAGTGACAGATCCAAAACAAAACAATGGATAATTTGTAGAACCTGAAGCACTGCAATTTCCATATGTTTCTGCATAAGAACCCCAATGTGTATGCAACTTAGGTCCTGCGTATTTTACAACAAATTCAACAATTAAATGTTAAACAATATGTGTTGGCAATTAAAGCATTTAAAAGCCAGAAAAGAATAAGAACTATACTTCAAGCAGCTCCTTTACAATGACATCTTCTGTCAAGAAAGCTATAAGCCCATCCAAAGTCATCATGCAATCAATAAGTGCTAAAGCACTCCAACTCTGGACAGGATCAGGCTTATTCATGCAAGACACATCAATGAAGGAACGAACAACATTTTTCAGTAATGGTACCATCTGCTTGATGATAAACGATTCTCCAAAAATGCCACCTGAGAAGTTAAAAAATGTTAGGGCATTATAAATTGAAGGTCTCAGTGATGAAAAGATGGAAAAATACGAAAGTCAGTAAACTAAGAATACCAATTCTGATCAGCACGTCAATGCCATCCGCACATAGTCCTTTCCCAAAGCAGTGAACAAGAGGCAAGATAGTCTGATTCAAGAACAAAAGGTAAGTAAAGCAATAATGAATACACATAAGTGGGAGTGGGGGCATGTGGGTAAAGGAAAACATAGCACTGAAGGTTGTTGCATAACCAAAAAACCTGATGGATGGTAATAGGTACACCAAGCTCCTCACTAGAACTGATTAGAAGCACTGAAGCAGAGGAAGCTGAACTTTTATCTGGAGAAATGTACAAGTTTGACAAGACCAATGGATGAATAGTTTCCAGGTATGCTTGTTTACCAACTCGATTCCATATTTCCTGTACAAATGAATCTTGTAGAAGGGAAACCTTTAATCGTAAATAACCTGTGGTCTGTAAAAAGATGTCTAAATAAGAAGTCATTTTTTTGTTAAAATAATAAATTAAAAGATTTCTAAATTCTACAGACTAAAACAAAATTCACAAAAATCAAGTTTGCAACTAGCCTGTAAAATTTTCTGTATGGTTGGCAAGATTAACGTTTTTACTGCTTGCATTGTTAAGCATTTCATGAATTCCTTCAGTAGCATATATGCCCATTCAGCTTCGATATCACTCACAGCATTCACTATAAGTGGTAAGCAATAAGCAGCGCAAATTTCAGTTGCAAATGCACCCATTTCCTTGAGAGCTCCATGCTTTGCGAGATTTGCAGCATATCGAAGACGAGTTTCATCTTTAGCTACAAGCTGAAGTGGAGCAAGAAACAAGTAGGAGGATTTGACAGTCTTTGGAAAATAAGGTGATTCCAGAAGAATTTTGGCAGATGGCCTCCTATATAGCAAAAATTAATACTTTAATAACATGATAGAAAAAACACCCACAAAAACCATACCTAATTAGGCCATACACATGCACTCAGTTGTAAGTGTGTGCAAGGACACTAATACCTCATCCAATCCTTTTGGATGCATGCTTCAACAAGTAATTTAATATCAGGAGGTAGATCCTGCAGAAATCCAGGTAAGGTTCCATCTTTCAAGTATATTTCCAATGAGATTAGATCAAAGAGCGGCCTGCAAAGATGAAGTTCAGCCAAGAGACAACCAATAGAAAATATGTCCCTAGCAACATCTTCAGTGCAAAGTCTTGAAGAAGATAGTTTCTGCTTCCAAAGTAGCAAGTCTGGATATCCAGAGGAGCCTTCGTTTTCCTCTTTCATATGTTGAAGAAAAGAAATTCTATTCATTTTATACGGCACCTGGTAATTTCTGTCAATCAAAGACAGTTTGCTTATAGTTCTACTAAATGTCTCTATTGTTGGATCTCCCAACGATGAGATGTTCTTCCCTGTCATTTGATTTAAGGGATAATGGTAATATGCATTCAAATGCCTAGCATGTTCGGAAAATGTAGATGCTTGCTCTAATTCTTGTAGATAAGCAGTTTCAGATAGAAGAGATGTCTCTCGGTGCATTTCATTTGCTTGACTCAAAACTTTGGCATATTTATTGGAACCATGACGTTTTCCTCTGGCAGTGGCATGACGGACGGGGTGTGGTTGTGTAAAGAGTTGACGCCGTCCTGTTGATTTTGGCATCATGGGATCTGATAGGGGAAGCATAACATTCTTAGCAGCAAGAGCTGCCTGGCCAGACATTTTGTAGCCAAAGGTTATATCTATCCAATGATGGAGTTGAAATGACACCCTATTACTTTCTAGTGCATCACGATGCAATTTAATGAAATCCTCAGGACTCTCGGCCCAAGAGGGTACAGCCAAATCAGCCATTCCATCATGTATTGACTTGAAAATTTGGGCATCACAGTAAAACTCTGGAATGCATTCATCAGGGGTCCATTGATAGAGCCTCTGCATTGTTGAAGGATATTCATTAGGTTCATAGACAGACCGAACAGCCATTCGGAGAACACTCAAAGGCAATCTTCTTGCTTTATAACTGCAGACAGCCAATTCAGACAGACATTCATCTGAAACATGATGAGGGATTTCAGACGTTGAATAAGTGAAATCCAATTGTTCATCACCTTTAGCCAAGCGCCATTTACTCTTGCTCAAATCTCGCCACCCTGCATCACAATTATCATCAGGTTTTGAGCTAAAATCAATTACCCAAGGCATTACTGGGTGAAATGTATGGTCCCCCCACCTTCTTCCGGCTAATCTGTTTAAGATAAGTAAATATTCAAAATTGCTTAGTTCTCCTTTCCACCATTGATGAAAGCAAGAATGCCAATCTATTGTTGGAGAAAGCTTTAGATCAGCATAAAGGCCATAAGAATGACAACCAATATTACAACAACCAATTCTTGCAGGTTCAGGGTTAACATTTTCATTCTCCCGTAAAGTTGAATTAAATTCCAATACAGGTTTGTTCCATAAGCTGAGCCAAGACCATAACGAGTCCGACAACATGATATTGGATGGGCATATATTACCATGGGAAACCCCTAAACCATGTATGTACGATAAGGCTGAGAGTAGCTGATACATAAGAAATCTTCTATTCCAGTCAGACTTTAATGCATTGGGGTTAAAATGAAGAATACTTTCCAAGTTGTATGGAGTCTTAGGAAGCACCACGTTAACGTGATCAGATGTTTTAAAAATCGCAAGGACAGGAGCTATGTTTGGATGCCTCAAAGAGCCTGGAGAAGTATCCTCCTCAAATGATGGCAACCCAATTATACTAAGGAAATTTACACTGTCCCGTCCAGATGCTTTCCCTTCAATGAAGAGATCAAGGGAATCTAACACGTGATCTTCGATTAAACCAGACAAGAAATCAGTGGAGACCTCTTGAAAAGTGGAATAGGAAGACACTCCCACACGAGCAATGGGGGCAAGTGAAGCGATTGTCCTCGAGCAAGAAAACCTTCCAGAATGACTACAAGTCGTGTTTCCGGAAAAAGCTTTTCCACTTTCAGAATCATCTGATGAAGTAGTTCTACCATTAACAACAGTATTATCTTGACGGCCTCCAATATCAGGATCACTACTCCTAGTACTGCTTTCACCGCTATCCAAAATATATTCATTTCTGCAAACAGAACAAAAGTTCATTACTTCCAATTTCCAAACTAGCCAACAACAAACCCAATCAATATTCATTCAATTTTTAATTAAAAGAATGTACAAAAGCACAAGCACACCACACCACATGAAAACAGCTCACAGTAATTCACCTAAACCATCATTAAAATTAAAGGAAACAATAACTTGCCAAAAACAAAAATCCAGAACATAAATCTTACACATAGTTTATAAAACAATTCTTCTCACGACTCGACAGGTTCTGCAGTATAAATTGACCGCCAGAAGCTTCACCATCAGCTGCACCAGAAATCTATTTTTCCAAAACACAAAACAATAATTAAAATAAATAGATTAATTAAAAAATTGATCCAAAAATTGAAAGAAGGAGAGAGAGACATTGACGATAGCTGAAGATCCGAAAGGAAAAGCAGAAGTTTGGATGGCATAATTGAAGAAGACTTGCTCCGAGAAATCAGACTTAATTCGAAGTTGGAGGCACTCGAAACACTCACTCTCTTCCTGCATCGATTCGCTCCACTGAGTCAACTCACCGATTTCTCATCATTTCTGCTTCTTCTCCGATCACCACCGTTAAATATGAAGGCTAACTCTGTCATTTCATCTCACAACAGTGTTTGCCTTTTAATTTTAGCAAGGAAACTCCTATATTTAATTTCTCATTATGTATAAAAAAAATGGTATTTGAAAGCACTAATGTGATTAAAATTTACAATGTTTGGTTTAAAAAATGAGGGGAAAAAATTGTCTTACAATTACAATATTGTACTTGTTGATTGAGATGATAATTTTATAATTTTAATCAAATTTGTCTTCACATAATCTCATTTATTAAACCTAAAGAGAAATAACACCTACCAGTCTACCAGAGCTGATGGTTGGATTAGGAACCAAGAAGAATAACCAATCAAAATAACATTTGATACGAGGATAAAATAGACCAAAATACGTTAAATTAAAATACAAAGGTTTTTAATGTACTTTTTTAATAAAGCTAAATTACTAATATATCTCATTTTTAAGATAGCTACCAAACACACTTTACGTAATTGCCCCTCTCAACAGAAGTGTATATATGATTATATTTATATTGTTGTCTCGACCAAGGCATAGGCTTCCATGCGCACCCTTATATTTCAAGTAACCAAAAGTATTTTATTTGTGTAGTGAAAAAATCATTTTAAAGGAAATAAAAAGAATTTAAACAATAAATAAATAAATTTATATAGAAATTTAGATTTAGTTATATTTCCCATTCCTCTAATTTAAACTATGTGAAATTTTAATTTTTAAATTTTTTATAAATCAAAATTTCTCTTTTTAAAATAAAAAAAAAATATTTTTTAAATCAATTTTTTATTTTTAAACCTGAAATATGTTATTATTTAAATAATTGGAAATTTATGATAAAATTAAAACATAAAACACTATTAAAAATATAAAATTAGTAAAAGTAATAAATTTAAATTTTTTAATAAGATATAATTTTTGGATTTGAAAAAAAATTATGAATTTTCTTTTTAAATGAAATTTAATATGCAGTAGATAAAAATTAAACAAAAACTTATGATTAACAAAAAGTGATGAAAAAACTGTACTATAAGAATTTAAAATATTGAATTTGTTTAAAAATTTATTAAAATGTCAAAATTGCGCACTACTAAAAAAAAAGACTTGAAGTGACTAGAACATTTAAGGTTGATTTAGTTCATGCTCCTCTCATTTTTTTGGTTTTGATATGAATTAGATTGATAAAGTTAATTTAAATCAAGTTTCAATTTTACTATAAAAAAAATAACAAGTGGGAAATTGGGGAAGATGAAAAAAATTAGGTTAAGTCAATTATAAACTGAATACTTTACTATCAAATGATCATTTAATAACTAGTACCAAGAAGTGTAACGATCCACCAAATCATTACACTATTTATAATTAAGTTTCTACGTAACGAAAAACATATATGTATTTAACCTAGGATTATCATGCAATAAGAATATAATCTCATGCACACAGTTATATGTAAGTAGAAGAAAGAAATATATATACTACATACATAAAAGAGTAAATATTGTATATACAAAATAGACCCTAAATCACTGATCCAACGCCTATACAAGACCTAACTACATTGGAATAGCCTTAACAAAATCGTGTCACTTCCAACGTGACTCACCACCAACTGCATAAGCCATCCAATTAATCATTCTTGTTCTTATACTAAATATGATCATCACGATTCCAACCATAGGAAAACATAAGGCAAGCTTGTGAAAAAAATTAAAACACATACATGATATGAATATCAACATGAACAATAACATCAACTTCAACATGTAACTTACAACATAAAACAACTTAACCATTTACAACTCAACATGTCAACTTTCAACTTAAACACAACATCATCCTACAACACAACAACAATATTATTATAAAAATAACTTTAAACCACTTATACAATGTGATCAACTTTAGCATATTGAACATAACAACATATATACACACACACATACACAATTAATGTGTCGTCACACATATTAACTATGAAGATTTCCTACAAACTGGGGTGGATAGTTTAAGTGACTTAATCCTATTGAATCACAACAATTGATATAAAATTAGAAACAAAGAATAGTATAAAACTAGAAACAATAATTAACATCAACTAGATTGATTTATCAGATTTTGTCACTTAAATTAGGAAGTCTAGTAATATTGTTAGGGTAAAATAATTTGGATACGAGTTTATCACGACATTAGTCTGCAACACTAAGCTCCTTGTGGAATTAAACTATCGATTACCCTCTAAGTACTCATTTCTCCAATACTCGATTAGGAAATAAGTTCTCGACTTTCTATTTTACTTTATTAGTCACTTTATACATGTATGTTTCGACCTTACTTGCACACGAATACTACATAAAATCTAGAAGAGACAATTGAAAATAACTTACTCATTCAAAAGTCAACTTACTAACTGAAGGATTTCATCTAGGCTCTCAGAGCACCCCGCACGCATATCAATTCAATGGGATATTCAAATTTCTAAAATAACTTTACTCTCCTCTAGTTGTTATATATTGTAAATAAGACATTTATTTAATCCACACGCCTAAAACTTAACAACTTATCAACTTCAACAACTTAAACATCATACAACTTTACAACATGCTCAACTTTCATTAGCAATAATAGCATATAGCTTAAGCAAATTAAAACAACATAAAACTTTACAATTCAACATCTATTAGCTCTTAACTTAACAAAAAAAACATTATCAATCATGTATCATCTTACAACATATTGTCTCATCATCACAGACCATCATTCCCACAACTTATTCACCATTATTTAACCATAAACATCTTAAAACAACACAACTTTCATCATGTAACTCCGTCCAACGCCACTTAAGGGCCACGCAATGTCATTGAAGCAAGGAGTTCTCTGTCTCGCCTTTGTCTAAAACCACTCAACCCACACCCAATGTGGCTAAGATAGGGAATTCCTAGAACCTCATGCTCGGGGTGATAAAAATTCCACACGCAACCTCATGCCAATTCAAGATAATTCTCTCTCATAATGTTCGACATCATTCAGGCCACGCCCGTCACCAATTCAATCCAAGGATATTTTTTTTCCTCACGCTTGACACCACCAATCATGCATCTAGTGTGAGCAAGACAGAGTGCTCTTGATTGAACTACGCTCGATATCCTAAAGGCATGCCCAACATGATGACATTAGTTATGCATTTATGCAAAACTTGATTTTGAGCCAAATTAATTTATTAGAATCACCAATCTTCACTCATAGGCAACTTCAAGAAAAAACCAAAATCAAAAACAACTTTTTCAATTCATTTTTACCATTAAAAAAACACCTAGATGAACCCAACAGCAAAATCAACATGAAATCTAACAAACAACACAAGTTTCCCTTACCTCTTGAAGAACCAAATCTAGAAGAGAAGGGAAGAACGAAAATTCACATCTAAGAACTTGAGACTTCCAACTTTAAAACTCGAATCTTCCAAATAACCAAGTGGATCAACTAGAATGAAGAGAGAAGAGATGATTCTCAAAATCGAATGAAGAAAAGGGAAATTTGAAGTTTAGAACATCTTTCTCTAACCTCTCGCTAGGAATTTTGTAAAAGCTGAACTTATGAAGTTCTTATTTTTATAAAAACCTTATATACCTTTCATAGGTTGAACCACTTAACTAAGCTCACAACTTAAACATTCAACACATTTAGTTACATCAAACACTTGAAAAACAATAGTGTTGCAAGAAGTATGAGTGTTCAAAAAAAGGTTGAAACTGAACTAAACTACATGTTAGCTACATTAAACTATAAAAGTAGTTCATCTATTTATTCAAATTAACTATTTTCTTAAACTTTTACTAATAAGCTAAATTGTGTCCAACACTATTTAACTTGGAAAAACTAAAATCTTCTAAGTGGTAAGTTAACTAAAGTCGTTTACCAAAAATCACTTACAAAAACTTGAAGTAAAATAGTTCAAGCTCACATAAGAACTAATTATGGAATTACTAGTCGATGTTCCATCTACTTGAACTACACTTTTTACTAAATTAAACTATTTTTGTACTCTAAATCAAACATTTTCTTAAGACTTGATTTGATCGAAACTAATTTTGTAGTAATTTATTTTTTAAAACCAAACTTAAGTTCAATTTAGTTATTATAAAGGATAGTCGAGTATTTTATATTGTCTAGTTCAATTTAATTATTTTGTAGTTTAGTTTGAAATAATTTTTGAACAATCCTATCAACCAATAAAAAATTAGTTTCACCTTAATCAATTATCTGAAGTTTAAATTATATATAGATATGTTGTTGTGTTAAATATTTAGAGAGAAAATTACATTACCCATGAAAAATATTATTGTTTCCCATTATATTTAACTAAAAATAGTAAAAACGAATCATACATAAACAAAATAAATTAAAACAAAAAAAAACATAATTTAAAATTACTATAAAATTTTCTAAAGTGTTAAATAATTTGATTTATAGTTGATTTTTTAAAAAGAAAGCTTAATTTTAATCATTACTTATATAGTCAAAATAATTAAAATTTATTATAATACAAATTATCAAATAATTATTAAAAAATAATATTTTATTTTATTTTTATAAAAAATAGTTTATTTTTTTATAATTTAATTTAATTTAATTTAGTTAATTTTATGTACACCCCTATCGAGAAGTACTAAGAACATTCTTTTTCTAACGTATTCTCTTTTATTGATTAAAATTTATTACAATAGTGAGAATGTGAACTCCACAAAATGTTAGTATACTTTTAATAAATAACAAATGTGTCCAAAGAAAATATATATTAAAACTGTATTACTATCTTTATCTCACTCAATGTGTTGTTCTTATGTTAAAACATAAAAACCATTGCAACCAGAAAAAAAAAAAAAAGTTGCACCACGTAGAAATTCTTCCATGAACACATCACATTTAGAATCCAACTAGAAAGTGTAAATCAAGTTAAAAATAATAATACTAAATCACAAGTTTAATCATTTTATTAATACCATATAATATAAAAATGATATAATCTAATTGGCTAAATTACTCATTTTTTTATTTAAATTTTGTTCAATCCAAAGCTCAACCATAATTGGTCGAATTAAAAAGTGGATCCATCTCCGCTATCAATCCAACCCAACTAATTAATTTTATTGAATTCGGTTTGTTCAAACTGATTGAGTTGATCCGACCTGTGTTTACCCCCTAATTACAATCATTTGATTATTATAATATCAAATTATTAATTTTATCCTCGTGGAGATGTTTCCCCTTTTGCTAGTAAAAGTGAACAACATAGAGCCAAAACTCCCAACACTTTACTTTCAACATTGAGAATTTGAGAGGCAGGAACACAGGTAAAAAAAAATGCAGATAGGTTTCGATTAACCAAAAGCGTCTTATTTTATTTTCAAGTTATCCACCGTTTAAGAACTCAGACTACTAACATTTTACAAACGTAGTATCGATTCTCACACGGTTTAATTTCTGTCAATCCATTGAAATTCACAAGCTAAGGAATTTAAAATCTTGTTGGATATCAAAATACAAGCCGCGTCTTTGTTGAAAAGAAAAAAAAGTGTTTCACCAAGGGATCGTAAACGTAATGTTAAATAGATAACACATGTAAACCTAACCCTGTTGCTAATGAAGGAAGCCATAATGTTAATGATGGAGACTCAAACACGGTTGTAGGCCACTGACTTGCTGAAAAGGCGTCTGATGTATATGACTTGCAGTGCACTAACAGCAGCCAACAGAAGGTACTCTCCCACAGTGTAGAATATAACACGCTTCCGTGTGCTCTCGTTCGCTACAAACAAATAGAGTTCAGTGAGTGTTTTAAGAACGCAGAAGAGGATAACATATATTCCCAACCACTTATTTTACTCATGAAAACTGTAGCACAAGTGACAAGATGTAGGATATAAAATGCTGCGAATAATCAACAGATACCTGAACAGTTTATCAACGCATAAATTAGAGCCTTCTGATTACATCCTAGAATGTTTAAACTGTTTTTACCCTCACAAAATGTTCAGATTGTTTACAAAATATGACACTAAATACTACATCTTACAAGAACTGTTACAGACAGGAATATCCCCTTCTCTGTGGAAGTAATGTTAGTTATCACAGAAGCCTCCTATGGAAGAAGCTTGTTACTATCCCATTGATAGTTTTGCTAACACTGAACTTTAGCTGAAACCTCCAGCACTTTATAATTAAAATGACTAAATGGGTGCCTGGATAACTTAAATAGAGACTTTCTATTTTTTTGCTACATTTTCCACTGATCTTAAAATAGATAAATGGTAAAGATACTTATGTCTGGGAATCATCCCTATATGAAGTGAAGGGGAAAAAATGTCTACATAAAATCTACAAATGTATATATGACTGCACATGATATCATGAGTCATGACATGACTACTAGATCAAATTTCCATAACTAGGACAATGCCAGCTCATAAGAAAGGAAACTACTTACTGTGACGATGCCTTGCATCACGAGCTTTCAAGTACTTTTGTTCAGCTGTAACAGATTCTAGTGCCTCTCTAAGCTCAGCAATTTTAACATTAACTGGGTCCAAATGCTCTGCAAACGATCAAAGTTAAAGGGAAGCCTTGACAACCAAAAAATACAATGAAAAAGGAACACTTGGACCATTATTCATAAATATCATGTAATAGGATAGTAGAATCTACCAAGAAAACCTGCTTACACAGAGAACGTACCATCTTTGGCAAGATCATGCTCAGAGGGGATATGACCAACATGGATGTAGAAAGAAACAGTCTCAGGTGTTGAGTAAGGGTTATGGAAACAAAATTTATACATTCCATGTGTTGGGGCTTTAAAACTAAACTTGTCACCAGATGTTCCCTTGATATTTTGAACGGTATTCCCTGCAGGAGTTGTCACCTGAAGATAACAGCAAAATTAGGATATCTGAAAAGCTAAAGTTACAAAACAGTTTGCAATTTTGGGCATGTTAACAATTAAATCATACAATCAGCAACCAAAGATGGCTCTCAATGTACTTCCCATAATACTTGTTAACACACATACGTTTTACACAAAGCGACCACAAATTCAGAGGTTATCAACAAGAGTCTTCCACAACTTATAAGTTATGACAATATATTCAAGCCTCGTCCTCAAGGTCCCAAACTGCACTCCACACTCCACAGTAAATAAAAGTGCACAAGACTTGAGCATAAATTTAATTACGTGCAGAAAATAAATGTCATCCATTTGAAAAATTCATGGTATCCTTTAACTCTCCCCAGTCATCACTTTCTGTCATTCAATTTGCAGCCTAACTCCAGCACAAATACTTCCAAAAGGGAATGGAGAATGATTTCCAGAATCCAAGTTAGGGTCTGTTTGTTTTGAAGTTGCGTAAAATTAATTTTGATCGTGTATATCAACTGATCTCAGTGATAAATGTAGATTGAAGTGTGTGAGTTTCATTGACAATTGTGAAAATTGATTTTCTGAAGCAAAAACAGACAGGGGCACATATCTCTTAGATGAATTGGAATCTCATCTTGTAAAGTAAAGATTTGCATTAAAAGTCTCCAATTTAGATTGGAGAAGAGCAAAAAACACGAATTGCATTAATCGTGATTAGGTTTTGGGAGTGAGTGTCCGCGTGATATGAATTGTCCTCTAGAAAATGAACGGAAAGGGCAAATAAATTGATAATTGAATGAATTAGGGCAATAAACAGACCGTGAAATCAATGCCGGGGTGATCGGAGCTCCAGAAGATGTCATGGTCGACGACGACAAAGTTGCCGGAAACGGTGTCGCCCTCGTAAAGCACGTACTCGTAGACGCACTCGACGTCGTTAACCGTGACGGAGAGCGATTGAATGCGAGCGAAGAAGCTGAGCATCAGACACATGAAAACCGTCCATACGTTGGCGCCTCTCATTTTGAAACAGTGAGAAGCGCTTTCAGATCTCAAAGTGTGAATCCAATCTTTCTTCTTTCTTCTTTCTTCTTTCTTCTTTCTCCGTTTCTCAACTCAGCCACTGCAGCAGAACATTTGGGATTGCACAGATTTGTTTCAGGCGTCGTTTCGTAGTGCTGACGTGTCAAACCTACAACGTGCACCAGCCAATCACAAAGCAGGGTAGGTGCTATATTGACTATTGACTGGAGTAGCAATTTTATAATACTTATTTTAAAACTTTTAATTTAAAATACTAGAAATGTAAAATAATTTATATTATTATCTATTATATATGAAAAAAATATTTATTTTTAATTAGTTTTTAAATCATATCTTAAATAATTTATAATTAATTAAGAATGGAGACAAATTATACTGAAAAAAATCAAATTATTTTTTATTTTAAAATAATATATTTAAAGTGATTGCTAATTAATTTATAATATAAATATTTTAGCACGACAATATATGAAAATTCGTAAGCTAAAAATTTATCAAGCACAATTTTTAAATAAAAAGACATGAAGTATGAACTCTTTTGCCGTGGAGACAGAAATGATAAAACATTTGACGTGTTCCTTTCCTTTGCATTGAGAAACACATCAAAGATCAAAGCTCATGGAGAAGTTGCAGGTGCATGTTCCAAGAATTAAGCTCGGTAATCATTGTAGAAAAAAATATGTTGAGATTTTTAAACAAAATTTTATAAAAATAAAAATTAACCAAATTTTAAATATTTAGTAATTTTAAAAATTAATATTAGATAATATTTAATAATTTTTAAAGTATTTTTGAATATTCAATAATTAAAAATATGAAGATATGAGATAAAATATATAAGTGAAATAAGGGAAAAAAATATGAGGAATTTTAAATTCTTACTTTTTTTGGGAGAATTTGAAATTCTACTATTTCAAGGAATTTCACAAATGCTTGGATTTCAAATTCTTTGTAAACTCTCCATCCAAACAAAGTATTTCACCTCAAAGAATTTGAAATTCTTCAAATAAATGAATTACTCCATTAAAATTCCTCATCCAAAATATAGTTTAGATCCAAAGAGAGAGAGAATTAAAACTTACTACATAGGTTATTAATAATCATAAAAAAATAAAGTCTATTAAATAGACTTCACTGTATATTACTTTTTTAAAAAGAGAGATAATATATCTCTATCAATATATAAGGGAGATATTATTTTTTTTTGGTTTTTACTTTCAATTAGACCATATAATAATTTAAAATTATACAATTATTTGCTTATTTAAGTTAACATATACTATAATTTTTATTAATGTAACAAATGATATATATTTATTATTACTAAATAAATAAAATTTATATATTATTAATAATTTAATATTGCTAATAAATTAATATCAATAATATTTTTAGTATATTTATAGATAAATTGATAATTTGATAAATATAAGTTAGTATATATTAATATACTTTTACAAAAATATAAATATAGTAGATATATAAGATATGTATATTTATATTTTTGTAAAAGTATATTAATATATAATAAGTTATATTTATCAAATTATTAGTTTATGTATAAATATACAACAGAACAATCAAAAAGCAAAATATAAACTTACATAGTTTATTTGTTTCTCTCAGGTTCTCTTAAGAACCCACAGAGTACTCTAATCCATACAATAAACATCTTACTCATATAATTGTCTCTTACAATTGCATTCCTTTATGGTGTGTTTGGATGAGTAATTTTACAAATTCAAGGAATTTGAAATTCTTGATATTTGAATTACTTTGATTTCAATTTCTATCATTGTTAAAATATTTTGTTTGGATAAGTCAATTCAATTTTTTTTAAATTTTAAATTGTTAATTTGGATATGATAATATGATTCTATCATGATAAAATTGCTTTTAAAAGGATATTTATATGTTGAGATTTTTAAATAAAATTTTATAAAAAAAATGTTAACCAATTTTTAAATATTTAATAATTTTAAAAATTAATTTAGTTAATATTTAATAATTTTTAAAGTATTTTTGAATATTCAATAATTAAAAATATGAAGATATAAGATAAAATATATAAGTGAAATAAGGGAAAAAAATATGAGGAATTTTAAATTCTTACTTTTTTTGGGAGAATTTGAAATTCTACTATTTCAAGGAATTTCACAAATGCTTGGATTTCAAATTCTTTGTAAACTCTCCATCCAAACAAAGTATTTCACCTCAAAGAATTTGAAATTCTTCAAATAAATGAATTACTCCATTAAAATTCCTCATCCAAAATATAGTTTAGATCCAAAGAGAGAGAGAATTAAAACTTACTTTCTTTGTAAACTCTCCATCCAAACAAAGTATTTCACCTCAAAGAATTTGAAATTCTTCAAATAAATGAATTACTCCATTAAAATTCCTCATCCAAAATATAGTTTAGATCCAAAGAGAGAGAGAATTAAAACTTACTACATCTTCCTCCAACACCTCATTCAAGAATGCTGACTTCACGTCCATTTGTTGCATCTTCCATCCATGCTGAGCTGCTAAGGACAGTAGTAATCGAATCGTTTCCATCCTTGTCACGGGTGCAAAAACTTCATCATAAGCAATGCCTTTCTAATGAATTACTCCATTAAAATTCCTCATCCAAAATATAGTTTAGATCCAAAGAGAGAGAGAATTAAAACTTACTACATAGGTTATTAATAATCATAAAAAAATAAAGTCTATTAAATAGACTTCACTGTATATTACTTTTTTAAAAAGAGAGATAATATATCTCTATCAATATATAAGGGAGATATTATTTTTTTTTGGTTTTTACTTTCAATTAGACCATTAAATCCTTTCAATCTTGGAAAAAAATTAAAAAATTAAGAGTTTTTAATATTTTTTCTCACATAATTAGTAATCTCCTTACACTCTTCCAATGACTACTCCCTTCATCATTTCTTATTTTATTTTAATTTTTAAAAAAATCTAGCAAATTAGTGACTTTGTCAC